GCAGGTGCAGGATGAGACAGGGCACGATGTGATGATGGCTGACGATCCAATGGCTGCGGTGTTAGATGTCTCCGCCAGCTCATGCGCCTCCAAGCTTCATCGTAGAGTGGTACGGCATCCAGGATATCAGGTTGCGATGCTACATGCGGAGCACAAGCTTCGCGCCGTGGCGTGGCATTCGGTTGCTCCATGGGAGCCTTTCTGCGACCAAGGCAACGAGCTGGTCTTGTCAACCGAGCACCATAAGGAAGACTCGATAACTCGAAGCATGACCATGTCAATTGTTTACACTCCCGCATTCGACAGGTCAGCAGTATGAGGCGGTCTACTTTCCAGCAGCCGCATCTGGATCTGTATAGAACAATTTTAACCATGTCGCAGCCCTTTGTGGCCGAGTTCAAACTTCACATACATACACTCGCCATATATCAGTATCGACAAGAGTTCGGTGATATTTGGAACGCTGTCTGGCAACACACGCCTGTCAGCGGCAGCAGGAGATGCATCGGCAGGCATTCCGATTACTGGTGCCCAAAGGCCTAGCCTGATAATACTACTGTTATTCAGACAATTTCAAATTCAAGCAGGGCTGAGTCCAAGTCTTTGTCCAGAAAATATCACGAGCAAGCTCTATCCAGACCCGAGACCTATCTCGAGTCACATCTTCACCAGTTTGCCAGTCGGTTGCAACTAAAAGTGTGGTCGTTCTACGTGGCTCGAGCCTACTGTTCTGGATACATACATAGCACTGGCATATATTGGACCCGGCAAAACGTCATAATTCAGACTTTCGCACAGCCTTGGCTGTTTGCCATGGCGTTATTATAGGTCCATCCGCCAAATTCTGTCCTTTTCCAGTCACAACATCATGCTGAAGAAGAAGAAGGGACCTTTTCCAAAGCTCTGTCACCCGGATCCCACCATGCATGTTCGCTGACCCACAGTCCTGGCTTGAAATGGTTCCACGTTCCAGACTCACGGCCAACTTCTTTATCCGATGGACCGACCGATCTTTGCTCCGTGGAGGGTCTCGAATGTGGATATGTTTGACTCTCATTTACGGATTTGCGACGGGCGAAATCAGACCTGTGTTGCGCAGTCAAACAGGCTACAAAGGGATAGGTCTGTATATTGTTGGTCGTCTACAAGTTAATTCATCGTCTATCGAAAGCAAGTCCGGTTTCTTCTCCAGTAGGATTAAACAGAATGGAACGAATTTGCTATTTGTACGCTTGTGGATGGACACACTGCTATCATGTTGCGCAGTGTAGCAGTAAAAAGCAACAGGAGGCATCAATATAACCAGGTGACTCCAATGGCATCTCGGTACTAGTCGATAGCATCGAGGCTTAGCCACGAAAAGGTCAACGATGAATCTCTCTAAGAAGTATCGGTTCGAAAATACTTGTTCAAGATATGGATCGTTCACTGGCCACAAGTTTACCAGTTTCACTGGGGGTTGGTGCCTCTCACGAGTATGCGAGATTGATCTTCACATTCATGAGCCGTCTTCGGAATTATTGAGGTGGCTGGCACCCATGATGCACCGGGATACTAAATAATGATTATGGCTACTTTTTATTCGTCTACAGATCCTTGGGATGCATGGCTACACTTTTAATGCAGACAAGATTGGACAATCCTGCAGGCCCAGTATGCACAACGGGCGAGGAAGCATACTCCAGGAGTATGTGGCACATGCCAACCAGGTCGAGGCATTGCCTGTCTTCCAGACGACCCTCCTGATGTGGCCCAGATGTACCAGGCCATGGTAGTTGGACAAGGCCGACCGTTCCGTGGTACCAAGTTGGTATGAGGAGCGCGGGTCGTTAGGAGCTCACGAATCCGCAACACAGAGGATTAGTGCAGCTTGTCCTGAGTTGCCAACTTCTCAGCACTTTGTCGAGTTGCCTCAGGTCTTCCGGCAACGGGCCATTGCTAGCCCGATGTACGGAACGGTCATGGAACAAGTGCCGAGAGGGCTTTTCACCATATGGACAAGACTTGATTAGAACGCATTGTCTGTCTCGCAATCGGTGTACCTGTGTCTGACTCCACCAATATAACCCCATGATGTTCACCCTGGAGGTTTCTGGGGTCGTAACAAAGGGGTGATTGGGCCGACATTCGCACTATGGAGCATGGGTTACCGGAGTAATCCATGGAGCCTGAGTACGTATAATTGTATGTACATACATACATACATGAGTGTGCAATACTAGATTCAAGTATCTATCTGTACCTGGAGGGCGGCCTTGATCAGCCAGGTTTTTGGCCCCAGCTCGCACCCACCAGAGGCGCTGACACCGGCGTCAGGGCCCCTGCTTTCCCCAGATTTTTAGTGCGGTGCAGATCACAACCAAGAAATTAGATGTGGACAATGCTGAATTTACAACGAACGACCTGGAACCCCAGAAAGTGCGCGGCGTGGATGCTTCCCTGGCCGGAGGCATGCATGAGCTAGACCCTGGGGTAGCACGGCTTGGTAAAAGCCTACGGCAACGAGTGGTACATACTCATCACCAGGAACGAGGAAACGGATGCTTGGCCAAGCTTGTCATTCGCCCACTGGTGTTACTAGTCTGATCCTCGGGAGAGTGATTCCCCGAGCAGTTCACCACTTCTACCACATAATGGTCAATAGGCTTCTGTTGGGTAATGAATAAGTAGGACAACTTGCTGCCCATGACACCAGGGACCACGGCCATGGCCCTTTGAGATGACGACCTGACGAGCTGGGCCAGACGACTTGCTCGTCGAAGGGCAAGGGCGTTGCGAGTAAAAGGCCACTCCTGGCCACCAGCGATTGGCTTTTAGGAATTATCAACTATGCCTTATACGAAACGATTATGTCTCTAGTATGGGGTAGGGAAAAGAGGAGAAACAAGTCGCGCGGAGCCGCAGAATGGTAACCCAAAACGACAAGCAGACGACGCATGATGGATACGATTTCACACGAAACGAGGTAAACTGTCAGGGCGGTGCAGCTCCGCCGTGATGCCCATCCCTCACATCAAACAAAATCCAAGTCCCTTCTCCGGAGCCGAAAAACATCATCTTTGTCGGCACCGTCGTCCTGGTCCGCAAACCATGACAACGAACTGGGTGTGGTTGTCGGCAAAGGTCTCGGCGCAAGTTGTTTGTCTAGAACCACCACTAAAGACAACACATTCAATGCAACAACAGGGATACAACTCCAGACCCCACACACATTCTCAGCATGGTGAATCCAAGGGGCCAATCGATTAAACAACGGCTCTGGGGGTTGCATTAGTGCTTGTAATTGGAGCAGAGGAAAGAGGTAGTACTATCTTTTAGGGCCATCTTGGTCCAGAAACCGCTCCCGCACACCAGCTGAAGCATCATGATTGTATGAAACGGGATATATTTGGGCGCAAACCAACACCAGGTCATGCGCATCGTCGTAGGGGGCTCCCTGTTGTAACCGTTTTCTGGACCTGTACCCTTGGGGGACGACAACTGTCCAGCAGCGAGGGCTCATGGGATGAGAAATGCCAATTCGAGCAAAGGACGCTTTTCGAAACCTAACTCGTGGGGTATGTGACAAGTTGTCGGCTGGAGATTGCAGTTCTTAAAAGCAATCCTTACTAGTTCGCTTTGACCAGACTGACCAAAAGTGATAAGTGACATGAATTAGTATGACACTTTCGGATGGTGGAATACCTTCTGCGGTGTGTGAGCAGCATTCTGGGCTGTTGTTATAGCTACCCTAGTCGAATTACTGAAGAATGTCACGCTGGTGTGAGCTGGGGACGATCTTATCTTATAACAAACAACTCCTTGATTCTTGGTGGGATCACATGTGAAGTGTTTCGCGGGTTGAAAGGTGTCGAAGCGTGGGAGTTGGACGCAACTATTCTGCTCACGCCAAGTAATGATGAACACGCTTGGATTTCTACCAGAAAAACCTTGGGATACTATACAAGTTGCCTCAAGAGATTGATTCCAAACGAATTCCGACCAGGCATGGAGCGAGTCGAGCCCTTTTCCATGAGCTTGTTGGTGTCCAAGTGCCTTTACTTGCAGAGCGTTGGTAGAATTATATTACCCGTTGTCAACTAAGTTATCCTGAAATACATGTCATTTGAGCTCTATTTAAATACAGTGTGAAAATGTATAAAGGTGGTATATTGTTACTGGGCGAGTCTGGCGCATCTGCTCAAGTCACGGTTATATTCGTCTTTAACCTGCCCCCTATTATCCTTTTCTGTACTCTTGTATTTTCTCTTGATGGATTCCTTGCCTGTTTCTCCCTTTCAAAACCTTTGTCATCTTTTTGTCCTTCTTATCCGCGCCTTTCATGATCCCTATGCACAATGTGCGCGCATGCCTGGAGGGTTGACCCTCCTTTGTGCCATCCAGCGTCAGTCAAGTAGACCCAAGATGCACTTTTCCGTCATGCACAGAACTCAAAGAAACAGCAAGTACTGAATAATAAAAATAACGTTAGATGCGCACAACAATACTCCATTCGCGGCAACTGTGCAGCCATCCATGCGTTTTGCTAAGCGCCAGCCACCCCGGCCGTGTTCCACCTCATGCAAGTTGCAACTCCTCATTGTTCAATATTCACACGAGTCTATTTCTCCCCGTGTCAGAGAAGAAAAGCGTCAGACCCAGTCAATGCCCCCTCGAATTGGCAACGGCGGCATTTCAAACTCGCTGCGTCGTGTGGAATCCCGGCTTCTGCTCGCATCAATGAAGTCCCTTGTCCCACGCGGAGAGGCGACGTGCCTACGTCACGACTACACAAAACCTCTCATTCCCCTAGAGCAAGGGAATATTTCCTTAAAACCAACCGCATCAACCTGACCGTCCAGAAGATCAGTAACAGGCCCTCCTCGATTCGTTCCATAGTCTGCGGTCTTTTCTCCTCCTGTCCAGACGGTGCTTGCTTGTCTTGTAATGCAGCAACCTCGCTGCTTGCATGATTCCTACCAGCACCGCAACAACGCCTGAATTCTATTCGCAGACTCGCCATGAAGCCGTCACTCGCACTCGTCGCTCCATCGCTCCTCCCGCGGCTGTGCCTCTCGGCCGTCGTGACAATCACCGCTCCCCCAGCCATCCCGTCCGACGAACCGCAGTGGAAGACGGCCGACACGTTCACGTCGGCCATCCTCAACAGCACCAACTTCTACCGCGGGGAGCACAACGCCACCGCCGTCTCGTGGAACGAGACCCTCGCGTCCTTTGCCGCCGACCACCTCGCGCGGAGCGGCTGCCGGTTCGAGCACTCGGGCGGCCCCTACGGCGAGAACCTGGCCGAGGGGTATCCCAACGCCACGGCGAGCGTCGAGGCCTGGGGCGACGAGAGGGACCGCTTCGACTTTGGGGACCCCGGGTTCGCGCACGAGACGGGCCACTTCACGCAGCTGGTGTGGAAGAGCACCACTGCCGTCGGCTGCGGCAGGCGGCTGTGCGGCGAGTCCGGGTGGTATCTCATGTGCGAGTACTGGCCGAGGGGGAATGTCATCGGCCAGTTTGGAGACGAGGTCGGTCGGGAGATATCCGCCGCGGCCCTGTTGAGGCCGAGTATCGTGTCTGTTGTGGCTCTGGGCATATGCGCTGTGATATTGGTCGCGGCGTAAAAGTGCCTTTTTTTTGTTCTCTCCATGGCCATGGCCCCAGTGCTGGTGTGTTTTATCTGCCTTTTTTTTATTTATTTCATGAGATAATGACGAATGGAAGCATTGCGGTTTTTTTGTGTAGATAGTGTAAGCCATAGTTGTATGTTATTGGAATGGCCTCATGTAACGCTGTGCTCATTTCGTTCGGGGACAAGCTCTACGCTCGGGAACCTAGACACAACTACTACTAGATGGAGTGTATCATGTATTTGGTCACTGTTGCCAGTCTCCATGCCATCTCGGGCTCCGTGAACGTGAAAATCTTATTCAAGATTTACGATCTACAACCCTAACGAAGAAGTCTGTCGGCTTGACAAACCAGTAATTCTCGGTTTTCCAAGCAGCTCGCCTACCAACCAGCTCAAAGTCAAAGTTTCTCACGAGCAGAGGAATCAGCTTGGACATTTCCAAGAAGGAAATGTGTCTCCCCAAGCATGTGCGCGACCCAAGACCAAACTACAAACGATTAGCAGACTGCCAAGGCCGATGGCCACATGATTGTTACTCACCGGTAAGTAATATGCGTTCATGGCCTTTATATCAGGTCCATTATCATCAGTCTCGATCCATCGTTCTGGCCGAAATTGCCTCGCGTCAGGGCCAAAGACGTCCTCATTGTAGTGCGCGACCCAAGTGTTGAGACCAATAACCGAGCCCGGAGGGAAGAAATGCCCGTCAAGCTCCAGGCCGCCGTCCGTGACTACCCGCCAGAGCGGTAGGCCAGTCGCAGCGTGCAGTCGAAGAGCTTCTTTGATGACAGCCTGCAGATACGGCATTTCTTGGCTCTGCTTGAATGTCAAGTGCGTGCCATCAAAGAGACCCTCCGAGAAGCGCTGCTGGACCTCGTCTCTTAGCTTCTGCAAAGAGTCTGGATTTCGAATCAAGTGGTATAAAACTGCCGAAAGGCTGATTGCCGTGGTGTCGGCGCCGGCAATAATGTTGGAGAGCCCCATCATGAAAAGGTGATATGACGTAACCTTTTGCGGATTGTCCTCATTTTGAACCATGAGTTTCTCGAGAAAATCCTGAGGAGCATTCTCATCCAAGGAGACGGATTTGTCTGCATATTGACCTCTTTCCGACCTTCTCTGTTGGATTCTTTCGCTCACAAACTTCATGAGGTATGTTCTCCCGACAGCTCCGCCGACATTTAGTTTGTTCATGGCGTGGTATAGGTACTTGTGCAACGCCGGGAGGATGCCTACCAAGGTGCTGTATATCATGGATCCATGCAGGGCTCTCATGATGCCATCAACGTCGTCGCCACGGCCGAGGAAGCCGAATCTTTTGGAGTAAGTGATGTTACCAATGACATCAAATGCGTAACACTGGAACCAGTGTGTCATGTCAATGATGGAACCGTGTCTAGCAAACTCGGAGAGTCGTCGCTGCAGAATATCGGTACACTCGTTGACGTAACCCTCATAGCTCACCAGGCTCGACATGCTGTAGAGGCCCTGGAATCGCCTTCTGGTTTCTGCGTGTCTCTGAATGTCTCGATCCGGAAACAAGGTCCAACGGTCGGGCGATGGGTGTTTCCAACCCTCATACCAGTCCGACTTTGGCATCTTGGATGCGATGCCGTAGACGGTGCCCACGGCTTCCGGTGCGTCGATGCTGTACATGTTGGGGGCAATGCGCACAACCCGGCCGTACCGACGATGCAATTGAATATTGTCATGTTCAAAGTGTCCCTCGTAAACGCGCTTAACATACCAAAGGCGCGTAAACCTTGCCCAGAAGGGTCCAGGGAGATATCGCAGTGGGGAGAAGACGGCGGTGATGACGGCTGAAGACAGCCATGCAAGAGCAAAGGCGACCAGGGCACCGCCCAAGATCAAGAGCAAGTACATTGTGGCTTATCCCAAACACGTACGGAGGAGTACCTGGGAAGGTATATTGCTGCCCTGAGGTTCTTGCCACCAAGGCCGTAACTTTTTGGTCCTGACTTTGGCATGGCCAACGATTCGGGCGCCTAGGTATTTGATATCATTCGGATCACGGCAATCCTCGGCTGAGACCTGGCCACAGAAGGAGTTGACCCCAGATTCCGCATCCGCAGTGGATAAAGCAGTGAGTGATTGCCGCAGCTCACTGCCGGACCCGAGATACCGAACAGCGAACGGCGAACGGCGAACATTGGCCACCAGTCCATGGCCATGCCATCAGCGCAAGTATCCCCGCATTATGACGTCCAAAGGGAGGGGCGATTTCCGAAGTTGAGCGTGCCCATGGCGTGAAAGGAAGCGTCCGTGATTCCGTGGGGGAGTTCCAGGTCGGCTAAAGTTGTTCGAAATCTCTCACACGCGCCCCATTCATGCTGTCTGTTCGCACGCACGTCATCTCGCATGTCTGCCCGAGAAAAAAAAAAAGCAAGCACCCGACGCGACAAGGGAACCAGCGCTGGCCGTTTTCTCTCCGGCTGCCAGACGAATGAGCGCCATCTTGCTGCTTGTCCGCGATGCCCCCCTCAGGGTGAAGTTGCTCCTCTGCGGATGGTGTTCCTGGTGCCCGTGTGGATTTCGCCATCGACACTGTGTTCGCCCGCTCCCACCAATAGCGTGTGTTGCTCACGGATCCTGCCTCGGCCCTCAAACACATCTCGTTTCGTTCCGTCTTCACCACCACCACATGTACTGGCTATTGTCTCCATTGTCCTACCGCAGCAGCGTGGCTGATTGAGCTAGAATCGAGATGGAAACAGATTCGTCTCTCATCGTGTCGTTATCGTTTCGTTCCTATCCCCTGTTGCGCAAAAAATGAGTGAGACTCCCCCTCCCGATAGCGTGGCAAAGGAAAGGGCCATCCTTTCCCAGCTGCTGCCACCTTTCTTGTCTTCATCCTACACATGTTTTATTTCATTTTATCTTCTCTCCTCCTCTCACACTTGCTCTTCATAACAAGGGGGACTTTATACTGTTTCCAACTGTTGCCATCCGAGATCCCGAAACTGGATAACCGAGAACCATCACGACGTCACGGACCGCATACTTGAGTGAGCCTTTGGCAAACGCCTTTTCTGCAATCCGCTTGGTAGAGGACACATAACGGGAGCTATAAGAGCCGAAACTTACACGTCGTCTTTACTTTTGTCTCGCTCCCCATATTCCCGGCTTGGCGCTTCAGACGACAAGCGCGGCGTTACTGGTGCGTATGATTTTCATATTCCATTATTTGGAAACATCAACAGCTAAAGCATGCTCGCTCACCCAGAAAAAAGAGGTGACTTGGGACCTGACGCAGGACCAAAACCTGTGGGACTGTAGATCCCGCTGGCCCAAGATCGGCGCCTGGTGTTCCGAATACATCACTTCATCATATTCCCTCCATCTCTGACACAAGGTGTTTCAAGAGCGACCTTTCGACTTTCTAGTCTACGGACTGTTCTAGGACCCATAAGCTCTTTTTTTCTTCTTTTCTGGAAACAACTAGTTATTTGCCAGTCATATTTACCCTTCGACTCCACATCATTCTTGTGACGGATTGCATCTGGAGTTGGCAACTTCAACCAAATAACATCAACCGGTACGGCCTCACGCCTGTGCAGTTGCCGGTAATGGCAAGGAGTCTGTTTAAACTAGCGAATTCCTTGTGCATGGTGCTGCTGTTGGCCATGGAGGCATCGGGCTCACTCTTAACGCTGGAAAATTTCGAGTCAATATCCACCATGTCATTACCCTTGGAATGCGCCTTCGCATACAACACACCACTGCGAGAGTGCTCCATGGAAGACTTTGGCGAAGGCAAAATGTGCTCGTCCACCTGCATAGACGAAATTCTGGCAGTAGAGACGAAAATTCAGGACTCATGCGCTTTGGCCCGGACTGGGTCAAACTCATTGTTAGACCAGGCACAACAGGGAAGGCTCGTAATTACGATTTGCGGGAACAGGCAGTCACCCACAGCAGTGCGAGCCAGTTCCTCAATTAGCTTTCCACGGCCGGGGACCTTTTCCAGAATACCGTTCGATACGCCATCGCCAACTTCGCCTAGACCCACTACCAAGCCAAAGCCATCGTCAACCACGTCTGCTACACCTACACCGAGCCCGACTATGACATCGACTATGACGCCAACTACGACCTCGACTGCGTCCTCAACTACGCCCTCAACGAGCGAAGATGATGGCGATGTGTCAACACCAACCCCTGCCATAGGGCCAATAGCCACGACATCAGGGATACCGGTGGACAGCACAGGAGTACAAGTGACTACGACGAGTACTGCTACGTCTTCATCAGCCGACGAACGTCCCCCTCGACGTACACAGCCACCTGGAGGAGGTGGGAGCCCTTTTGACTTTGTACCGGGAACCGCGTCGCAAAAGTCCATCGATTTTCTCTCAAAGATGCTTGCGATACTCTCCTTTGCCCTAGCAATGTACGTGAATGTGAGTTGATGAAGTTGCGGATGAAAGCTGTGGAGTATCGAGGGTGTCCATTGGAAAGAGAGCCATACTATAATGTGCACGGCGCTGGATACACCAATGGGGAGATTAATAGACGAATTTATACCCGGATTACCTGGATGGTTGGAGTTGCGTATGCGAGGGTAGAAACAATGTATAAGATTGATGAATTGTTACGTGTATGAGATCTACGCAGACTAGGAAGACCCCGATGAAGCATTTGTGGCCTTGGCCTTTACAGGGTAGGATAGTATCAATTGAGGTTATGTAATCTTGGAGTAATTAATGTCAGTCAAAACGCGGCCGACGGACGTATTCGCCTCTGGTCCAGAGCCTCGCCGACATGGCGAGAATTGTTTTAAAAACGGACATGTTGTTCTAAATCAGGCGCGGGGACACTGTAAGCTGATGCATTTCTCCGTGCCAATGTGGATACTTTAAGAATACGTACTTTCAAGATGAGAAAAAGCAGGCGAGTAGATGGCATCAATTTGATGCTGCACAATCAGTTGCGCCCACAACATTGCTTTGCGAACGGAGAGGCCACGCGCAACTCGCGTCATCACCGCCGTGATTCTGGCAAAGTAACGCTAGCAGACATATTTGGTCTTCAACCACATCGGTGCCCAAGACTCTCAGCTTCTCAAATTATCGATGCTTATACATACATAGCTTCATTGTATCCTAGCAAATAAAGCATTGTGGATTCGCTCAGGTTCATTGTGTTTCAAGCCACAGCCATGTATAACATGCCGGGGGCATCTTCACCGCCACACAACATGCAGGGATCACCGAGTGACCGAAACAAAGAAGAAGGAGCGGTTTGTCCCGAATTAGAAGGGAGCCGTCTACGGCACGCGTCCCATGCGAGAGTCGCGCGTTCGTCCTGGTGTCTTGAGATGCCGTTTCCCGACGCCCAACCGCGCGACATGTAAGCCGGACGATTACCATTGGGCGATGTCTGACTCTGCTGCTTCGTTCTGGGGAAACGGGCGGGCTGGTCAGATGCTTGATAGGTTTGGATGTTTGGCAGACAACAGTTGGTCCCTTTTCGTCTCTCTACATCTTGGCAGCTCTGCGTGGGGGAACATAAGAGGCTGTCGATTGTGGAGTGACGCCGGGTGGCATGCATTTTCCTCGGCATGCCTGAGAGGAGTCTTGTCAAAATAGGTAGCATTTGCTCTGCTGAAGTCCTGGGCGGGAGCTTTCACAACAAGAAGCAGGGAGGCCCCTTGGAGCTCCTTGAAGTTGAGGCACCTTGATCCATTCTCTGGTATCGTTTGCTGAATCGGATATAGTACAGGTCTGTCTTGACTCACGTGGGCTGGAGACAGCGTTGCACTCTATTATGGCTCGCGTTCGGCACGTGGAAGACGGCTCGAAGACTCCATCTGTCGTACAGAGACGGGCCTGGGTTGGTTACCTGCTCGTGTCCAATCTCGCAGCAGGCGGGGGACTGTGGGCACAAATCACCGCTCACCGGGGGGGCGATTTTCTCCTTTCGGCTTGCAGCTTCCGCCTTGAATGGACAGTCTACAGGCAAATGCGAGTGCCACGAGTGGGGGATTTACGACAATGCTCATCACCGACTTGTTCATCGTGGGGGAGCGGGATCGAGCTGCAATTTGGCGGGAATACTCGGAGACTCAGTTTCAAGAGGGCGGGCGACAATGGTCGTCGGGCACGTTGGGGGTTTTGTTATTAGGCCTCCAGGGATGCCACAGCTATCCAAAAGTAAAGTTAAGCATAAATCGTCGTGGGTTCCCAGATCAAGGACAGGCGCCGGTTGGCTGAGAGGCTGACCGGCCAAAGTCCAGGACTCCAGCATCAGCCGCGGCGCCGGTGTGGTGACGCCACGACAGAGCGCGCAAGGAACAGTTCAAGGTGGCATTCAAGAGCTGAAACGACATCTCCGGCGGTCGGCTGCAAGGACACGCCGGTAGTTGTTCGTATTTGGCATTGTAGCCATTCAAGATGGAGAAACGACAGAGCGTGCTGTACCGTCCGTTCCGTGCCGGGATGCCGAGTTGTGATACCTTGCGAGGTCGAACCGGTCTGAAAGTGACACTTCGGCCTCGACTTGCAAATCAACTCTGTCCTTGGGCGTCTGGCTTGCCCTACTCGCGCCGTAATACATCGACGAGAGCACCATCCACGCTGCCACGGCACGCCTTCGCCATGTGTCTCCACTCGGTGGTCCCCCCAATTGTTGCTCCACGCATCTCGTTGCCTCTCACAGAGTCACGGCCCATCCATGGTCTGCACCAACCGGCACCATATTAGTTTCTGGCGTTGGCCAGCCTCCAAACTCTTTTATCTGTCCACTCTGATTCGTGCCGTCCAATTTTCATCCCGGATCTGATGGATCCAAAAGTCTTGGCTGGACCATTTTCTTGCAAGCACCAACCTTCTAAACGTCAAAGTGCGTGCATGCATAATAATTCG